TGAAGAGGGCCAGATGTCGGCGGCGCAGCCGGTTCCCAGGGGAAGGCGTTACTCATTCCCGAGCAGTGCTGCTCACACCCAGACCGATGTATATCGGTCACGCACTGCTGACACGTCACACTGCTTCAGCATCAGCTGAGAGCTGCATTAACCTCTGCACCGTGCAATGGCAAGGAGTGGGTTTTGTTTTTGCGGAAAGAGCGTGCCAAGCATTGACCTTCCAGGTCAACGCGGTCTGTGGATGAGGTTGCAGCGAGGAGGTTTGAATGTCGAGGGCTTTTGCACACTGTCAACGTAGAAATAATTTAAGTCTGAGATGAGAGAGGCAGAAAATGACCTCATCCTTCCACTGTAACCTTGCTGCTCCCAAAGGTTTTAATATGATCCTCCAAGATGAGCTGTGCTGCTGCAATCTGTCTAGAGGCTTGAGAGGGACAGAACACAGCTTTATGGGGGGAGGGGGAGTAGTCCTAGGTCTAAATGGGGTTTGGATGCTCTATATCTTTTTAGTTAGTTGCCAAATTCGTCTTCACAAAGGCAGACTTCAGACATAAAACTTAGCAGTTAAACATGTGAAATAACTAGTGGAATATCCAGAATGTTGTCGAGTCCAACACCTCAGAAGCCAACCAGTCAGGGCATGGCCCTCCCAGCATTTAGTAAGGATATAGTTAAATCTTTGAGTGTGTTTTAAGAGCAATGCTATAGTGTTCAGTGCTGCGTTTCAGAAAAAGGATCAGATCAAGGAGACTCACGTTGTTTTGAGGACTCCAGTGTATCTTTCTTTGCTTGAGGGGTGGAAGGATGATTCAGGAGAATCCTCCTAAAAAGGAGGTCTGGAAGCACAGCAGAAATCTGAGATTTTCAGTGAACAATGACACTCAGATGCCAATTATTTATGCTCCAGTTTAGAAGCAGAGCAGTTTTCACATGTCTTCCTGTTGCAGGTGTCTGTCTGCCTTAGACATCCGTTGAAATGTTTTCAACCCCAGTAGAACAAGGAAACACCCAGGTTGGCAGCCTTGATATTGGGCTTTTCTCACTCTTCATCCTGGCCATTGTGAACACCACAGACTGAGTTAATGCTACACATTCCCTGCTTTTTTCCCCTTGAAGTATAGAGATCACTGAGTCCCATGTAGTGAAGATCACCTAGGAAATCTCACATGCAGCTCTATTCCAGCCTCAGCTTGAATGCAGCTCAGACACAAAATAATGATTTTTGAAAGCATCACACAGTCTCCTGAAATGAAAGATGTTCCTCTGAACACAAGCAGTTACCATTAATTTACAAGTGTACTTGTTTTCTTATGTTATATAGTTGTTATTTTCAAAGAAAGTATTTATATATACAGACCAGAGAGAGTAAAGTTGTATTATAAATAGCAAAAAGCTTTATTCTGATGGAGAAGGTGAAAGCATCTAGTTGGAGCTAGCTGGAGCCAGCTTTCCTGGAAATAGAGAACCATGCTTCTCTTCCCTACCATTTTAAGATAATTTTATATTAATTGATAAACACTGAGCTGTGTGTCTTGCTCATTGGAACCTCCATTGTCACTTAACACAGATTAATTAGTGTTAGTGTTATGACCCACGGTAGTTTGAAGGTCAAGTCTCTAAAATCTATTTTCATGAGGTGCAATAATGCTGTCTCAGGAGACACCAGGTATCATAACTTATTGTGCTGTTAAAATCTGTGCAATCAATATGTCTGCAGCTTTAAAATTTTACAATATACTAATAAGATAGACATAAAATCCTACTGGTATCACACTCCCATCAGCATTAATGATCTTAGCACTGCAGGTGTTACTGTTCCTAACAAGACACGGTATTTGCTATTTCGTGCTTAGATGCTCCCTCCTCTTGATTCACAGAAACTGAGGAAGCTCTGTTTTAATGATTTGATAATGCTACAGGCAGAGTTACTTTGGGCACAGTTCAGCCCAATTTACTCCACGCTGAACCAGGCAGTGTCTGTCATCTGCTGTGATCTCTGGAGCAAGGTAAAGGCAGAAGTCCTGCAGACCAAGCAAAATCCAGAGTCATTTGTAATGTAAGATATTTACCCGAACAGACAAGTTGCAGTTATATTTGCAGATTGCAGCCTTTGTATGAAACTAATATCTTTATGTTAGGAAAATATATGTTTAAGACCGAAATTCTCCTTCATTGAGCCTTTTCCCTGACCTGAGAGGGAAAAAAAGAAAAAATAATCATTATAAATAGGGGGGAAAAAACCCACCTGAGTATTAAAATGCCTAGAAAACAATATCAAAATAAGAGCCAATTCACTTTAGATTAATTAATTATATGGTCAATTTTTTTTTCAGTAAACAGAAGTAGGATCTGTCCACCTAAGCCTGCAGGTGTAATGAGATTCTTTGGTGAACTAAAGGCAGCAAGGTACAGCTTCCCAATGACCTGCTCTCTGGAGTTGCTTTGGGCCACGTCAACACCATGTCCTGGTAGCATTTACCAGGAGTAGGTAAGTCACCATGAGCTGTCATCATGGCTGGCACCCTGAAATGCCACATGGTCCCACTTGCAGGTCTCTCTGCTGGGGCACAGTGGTGCTGGATACCCATGTCCTATAGATGGTCCTTCCATAAGAATGAAACCCTATACCCCAAAAATGTCCATCTTTCTTAATTGACTAGACAGAAGCTTGGAATGAGCAAACTCCTGATCCGGATCACTCGATTTCAGTGCATCGAATCCCAGGAAGGTCAATTAATGGCTCTGTACCTTGGTTTCTTTACTTGCAGCACAAAGTGCTCTGAGGTACCCCACTGAGGAGATATTTTCAGACTATGATGCAGCACTGCCAAATGCTGCTGCTGATTATGTCTCCTAAAAAGTGGATGGTTGAATGCACATTCTGCATCCTATTGCAGGGGAAATGCAGTACTGAAATACTCCTCATTGCTAAAAGAAAACTCTCACTAGAGAATGCCCGTCGAAGTATTAAAAGCTACTTCTGTGGACTTCCCAAAGGCATCTAATCTTTGAATCTCTGGAGGGTGGCAGTTTTAGAAGAGATGCCATTATAGCTGCTAATTGTGGGATGAATTATACAAGAATTTATTATTGATTCAAGGGGAGCCTGCTCAGGCATGCAATCAAAGCCAAGGCAGAGCAGAGGGGAAAGGATGAGGCTTCTGTAGTTAACTAAACTGATTCACAACCCAAGAAAAATCCAAGGCAAAAGAGGCAGTTTGCAGAGTGCAGGATTTTACACACCAAATCACCTTTTCCACACCCATAACCAACCTCTAGTACTAGATAATCCAGGAGCAGAGCCCATAGCATTGCATGAATCCTCTCCCAAGCAAGAAATACCTCCCCCCCCACCACAAGCAGCCATCCACAGGGTCAAAGGCAGAACCCCTTTGGCCGTGGACCCCCAACCCAACCCAAGCCAGCCCATCCATGTGGGTCTGGGAGCAGCCCAGGGCTGTGTCCAAGGTGAGGAGACCCAAGGAGTCGTGATTACAGGCCAGAGCTGCAGAAACGCCCGACAAATCTCAAAATAACAACTGGGGCAAGGCCATGTAGCCACTGAAAGCCGTGATTTAGGAGAGAAATTTGTTGGCAGCTTGGCACCACACCAGAGTTTGACAAGGTCCATTCAAGGAGTACAGAGATTGCTGAAGGAGGGTTTTAAGTTGAGAATTCAGAGGGTAGTGAAACTAAAAGCATATTGAGCCCAAACAATGACACAGGGGTGACAGGCACTCATCAATTTATTTTTGAAAGAGAAATAGAGGCTGTTTAAAAAGCCAGGAAGGCCGGAGGTAAGCAAGAGGAAATAAAATGAGCTTGCACAGCAAGCAAATATAAAACAAACCATGCAGAGGCTTAATAGCATGTTTAGCATTTTGAGTAATGGACATAAAATTTGCTTTTCTCAACTTGACCTTTGTTAACAACCTTAGGCACTACAGGGCTCTTATCCTGCAGCATTCCCTTTACTTAACTCATCATGTCTCTGAGTGCTAGGGACCATTTCCTAATGCAATCAGGAGAGACATCAGTACTGATAATTATATAAATATATATATAATGCCCATGTATCTATGCATTCACACGCACATGTGCGCACACAGATGCTCCTTATGACAACTCTCCAGCGGAAACATTACACTGACATTTAGACAGAAAAACATCCAGCAGAGATCTTACACTAAAACCATCCCTGATGCTGCTGCACAGAAAATGGCAAGAGGAGCACAAGAGAGGAAAAGAAAAAAAAATAAAATCAGTAAAGCTAAACAACTGTCTAATACCCCACCAGAAGGGTTTATTTTAATTGCAACAGAACACTGGCGTGTTTCTGGAGTCAGCCACGTGGTTTGCTAAATAATCTTCTTTAAAATATTATAAATATGCAGAACTTTGAGAAGTAGGTCAGTGGCTCAACATGTTGTAGCAAATAGCTCAGATAAATACTAGTCATTACCCCGTGGTCTGCAGTCAGTAGGAGATGTGACACACTCTGCAGTTAGTTGAATGGCAATTCACTGCATTAGAGGACCATTCCCCAAGTGATACCACAGCTGAGTACCCGGTCACAGCTAACAACACACCTCTCAGCCAGCAGAGAAATCAAGTTCTCCCTCTCATCATTTAAGTTGTGTCACAATCAGCAAGGGCAAAAGCAGGAGGAAGCAGGAGGATGTGGGAATTCAAGACACTGATATAAAGAACAAAATGAAAAACTGCAGCTCAGGATAAACCCTGAACGCAAGTGCCAGCTCTGCCGGAAAGGTGACTTCAAAATCCTGCCTTGAGCATGGGTCTAGATGCACTAAAACCCATCGTGGGAGGAATGTCTCCATGCAAGCCCTACATGAGCCCTTTGCAAAGTTCCCTGGGACCTGTAAAAGCCAAGCAGCAGCTCACACAAAATCATCCCGTGGATTTGGAGCCCTGAATCCATGCGGTGCAGCTCCCCTCTCTCACCCCCCCTTCCCAAATGGATTTCAGCAAGCACTCACCATCAGCAGGCTCAGAGCAGATTCGGGAGCACGCTGCACAGCCATCTCCTCTCTTCCTACATACAAATCCTCCCCACGACTCGGTCAGCCCTCGGCCCTTCGTCACGGCAAAGCATCCACAGAGTCCACAGCTAACTGCAGGGAGAGAAACCCCAAATCAGGGTCGGAGAGCATTTGCAAGAGGAGGAGAGGATGGATGAGGGGGTGGGGAGGAGAGGAGGGAAGGAAATAACCTTCACAACCAGGGAAAGAAGCTTAAGCTAGGCCAAATTTTACACTAGAGAGAAGAGGAAAATGAAACAGAGAGACGGCTGGAGAAACAAGATATCGAGAACTGCAGGATATTTAAAGCTCAGGCACACGCCACCACAGAAAGCTGCAGCAGCACAGGACACATATCAAACACCTACATGACAGGTTAGGTCCAAGCCATCCTCCCCCTGCACTCGGACTGTCATTAATTGCTCTTAATTGCCACTCTCCTTCCTCCACCTAAATAAATCCTAGGTAGCACAGAACTGCCGTGCCCCTGACTCTGCATCTTCGTCCCTGCCCTGGTGATGCTAGCGCAGAAACAACGTCAAACATCGCCACGTACCGCTTCCAACAGGGTCAAACCTCTTCTCTCTTCTCGCAAAGCCCTGCTGCGCCTGGTTTGGAGAGCAGACGCCTGCATAACACAGACATGAGCAATAAGTGAAAGCAGCCAGAGCCAGGAAGCACCCGGTGCTCACTTGAGAGCAACAATTACCTTTATCGTATTCGAGAGAGAGCTGGGTTACCCACTGACCCTTTTCACCTTACTCCCCCCCCCAAGAAAGTCTCTTCCTCCTCCTCCCCTCTAAATGGACTCAGCTCCCCACGGAGCTAACACACTTCCCAGAAACATGTAATTACACAGGCTGTTGTGTTAGCGCTCTGATCACGCTGCCTGTACCGCATGGAGACGGCAGCCAGGCAGCCCCCCCTTCCCTCCCTTCGCAAGGAGATGCTGCAGCCTCCCGCCGGGCTCCCGCGGCTCGGGGGGGACACAGACGGCTAATTGTGAAAATGTGGCCGGTTAAGACGGAGAGACAAATTAGCCTTGAAAATAAGCCCCTTGTTTAAACGTTGGGTGTAAATGGAAGATGGCTTTTTAAAGCCTTCAAAAATAAACAGAGCACCCTGGTAGGAAGGCCAGCGCTCTGATGCAGGTGTGCCCTGACAGATCTCTCAGACCCCTGTTTTGTGGGGCTCAGAAGCCTCCTGGATTTTGGTCTATCCACACTCATATCACCCCTCTGAACAAGCAGAAATTTGGCTTCATTTCCTAAAATGTTAGGCTTCATCTAATGACAATGTCTGTTCATCTTACAACTCCCACGTGCATGTTCCCCCCCCTCCCCCCATGATTTTGGAAACCAATTAAAAGTTTGAGACAGATTCAACCAGAGTTGAATTCTCTGACACATGTCATTCCTGCAACTTTTATAGAAATTGGCAGCAGGATAGAAAAGAGAATCAAATTACTGTCTCCATGAAGGCAGCAGCAATCCTTCCTTGTGCTCTGGAAGTTACATCTGGCAGGTCAGCTCTGGTATGCACAACATCAGAGCACTTGCTTGTCCAAATTCTCTCGCTCACCTATCATCTTGTTTTAGCAAAGGGGACACAGTGACATGAGAGATTGCAGACATTGCCCTAGGAAGGTCATCCAGGATATCTGTGGCATATCCATACCTCCAAGAGGTCCAAGGGGGATCGCCCTTGTTGAGAGGTGTGTGGCCATACAGGAAAACTTGGGTTTTTTTCATTTAAATCCACAGACCAGGTAAATGCACTCCCCTCCCCACAAGCTGTAGCACCAAGCCTGAGTGCTGTATGATGATGACAGGGGTTTCCTTCCTCCCAGCAGGTTCTCCATCAAGAGGTGTGCGAGGGGGAAGCCACTTGTACACAGAGGGGTCACCTCTCAAGGGATGGTGTAGAAACACTCATGGGCACACAGGAAAGCATTTTCTGAGGTCCTCCCTCCTTGGTTTTGCATTACAGATATCAACATTCAGGGAGAGTCATTTGTCCTACACCTGGGGGTGGCATTTAGTGCATTGTTTGAGAGACCTGATTTTTTTCACTGCAGTGAGTGTAGCTCCTGTGAATGCACACGTGCCAGCAGTCATGCTTGTCTCCACCCTTGGATATAAGTCATCCCCACTGATAGAGAACAGTGTCCCAGCTTTGTTAAATGCATTAAGGTACCTAAATACCGAAGAGCTTTGGGCTTCAGTGATTTTCTTCAACCAGACCAGAGATCTGAGGCAAAGATTCATGGTGCTTTCTAGTCACAGGGCCCATCTTGACTGTTTACAGTGGGTCACCCTTTGCCTCACAGCCATCTGAAGCAATGAACTTCATACAAAATTATCTGTTCCCATCCCTTCAAAGTGATTTGTCTTCATCCCTGAAGATGAGCAGGTTGTTGGCTGTTACAAGGAACAGAGAAGGCTACTTAAATGTCTCTTGAAAGGGGAAAATATGCATAATACAAGATTAAGGTAAGTTTTAAAATATATCTTAAGGCATCAAATTATAAAATATGTAACTAAATCTATTTCAACAGCACTATGACAAATATCCCAAGACTATTACATTTTTCTCTACACTAACCCAACCTGAAGTACTGTAAGGAGGGACTTCAGAAACAACACATTCAGCAACTCTTGAGTCTGACAAGCAAGGTTTCTCCTTTGCCAAGTGATTTTAAGGAGCCAGCCTAAGCCTACATTTTTGGATGAGGCTAAAATGAAGAATCTGGAAGTGTGGATGTTTCTTCCATCTTTAGTTCCTGAATTCACTCTGCAGTTGAGCAGGGTAAAATCCATCAAACACCAGGAGCTAGTTATGATTTGTGGTGTCCTTGAGAAAATTCTAGGATTTTCCTGAGCTCTGCAAGTCTCAAAGTAATGATCATCTGTAGGGAGCCATCTGTGTACAAGTATATGATCTATGACTTCAAGGTATATTTGCAAACTTACCTACAGGTTAGCTGTTTTCTACTATTTAGGTGAATAAATTTTGCAGCACAAGAGGAAAAAACTTAGATCATTATTCACTGCAGATTGTCAAAAGATAAGAACAATTTTTAAGAGGAACTTGTTGGATAAATGATTAAAACTACAGACTTGTGGTTTTGTTTCATGGCCTAAAATTATTAGCAAAAGAAAAGAGTTGATTAGATGTCTTTTTTTGTTTCTCCCCCTGCATTTTAAGATAATTAGGTGCTACAATTGGTTAATAGATTAATTGCTTGAAATCACTGAAAGAAAAACTATTATGGCAAATTTTGGATCTTACTTGATCCCAGTAAGAAGACATAAAGCACTGCAGACTGGTGTATATAGAGACAGATCCTCCAAATCCAGTGTTATCACCATTGGTGACAGGGACAATAGAAGCATAAGTATGCCATGCATCTTTAGGGCTGGTGGTTGCTGGGCTTGTAATTTGAGGTTCTGGTAATACCAGGTAGTAGGAAAACCCTCTGCATGTTGTTTATTCATGGACATACAGAACCCAATGGGCACCTGTTCTCCTCAACAGGAGGCTGAGGAGAAGTTGTCATTAAAGGTATGAACAAAGGCAATACAGAGCTCAGGGTTAACTGCAAGACTTGATTTCAGCTGGTACTGAGCTTATATTTCTTATTGTTTCCATTTTTTTTTCTTCAATGAGCAAACAGGAGCTCAGGTTTTCAGTGAATTTTCCATGTATTGCTACTATGTATGTTTAACCACTAAAAGTCAAAGTCCTCCCTCCAGTCACCTGTGACATTTGTGAGAGATGAAAATCTTGATATGAATTGTGATTTGCCTTCTTCCGTCACAGATGTGGGTTAGAGTGAAATGCTGTCTAGTGACATGACAAGTGCTAGGAGGCCACCTGTTTCAGCAAAGGTGTAGACAAACAAAATTATTTTATCAAAATAAGCTAAAGTCTTTACCTCAATTTACAAGGAGTTAATAAAGCAAGTCCTGTTATTGTTGTGGCAGGAAAATAGTACATTAAAGTTGATGATACTACCATAAGAAATGACATGACCTGAATCATACCCATTTACAAGACAATCACACATCCAAGAAACCAATGGATAGCCCAACAAGCATCTTTGAACCTTGAGATATGTGGAAGTTCATGCCATGCCTGTAAATATTTAACCTGAAATTCAAAAGACAAAGAGCTCTCAGAGGGGTGAAAAGAATATATGATGTGAAAGTATGAAAAGCTTCTGAATTTATTGAATTTCCTTTAGCCACTTGTGTGTTCCTCATGCATCTCAATTGTTTGCTGAATGTTCAATGATTATTTTCAAGTATGTGTTAGTCCTAGAAACTGAATTTGCATTATGAGTGGCCATGGCAGAAGTGCTTCTGCTTTAATCCACAAAGGAGGAACCACTTCATACAACAAACTGCAACAGGGAACACAGATGGGAAGTCTAAGATGCTTAACCAAGCTATAGGGAAGTACACAAAATAAATATTCACATAATTCAAACACACAAATTTGAGGACCTACATTTTGCTTGTAGCTTATCCCCAAAGAAGATAAAAGCCTGATGCCAACAAGTAAATTATTCATTGTGAACCAGTCACTCAGCTTTAAAAAAGATCTGTAAGGAACTTACTGAGTTTACTTTTCTTCTTACCTTCCTATGCTCCCGTCTATCAACCCAATTGGTCTAAAAGTCATTCTTGTCATTCCCCGCAAACAGATCCCAGCAGGGTTGGGACTGTTCCTTGAAAACTCTCTTAGAAGCTTTTGATAATTATAAATGCAGTGATAAGGATGATTCTCCAAGCTGCCAAAGAAATACTATGTAGGAAGAGAAATGTCATTCCTGGAGCCATCAGACTGCCAAATGAAGCCACCACATGTAGATATATGAGGGGAAGGGTCTCAGGTCAGCCTCTTCCTCCACTTCCTTCGCTCTGGAGGGTAAAGTTAGTGAAGGATTCCCTTCCAAGTGCTAGAGAAATTATTGTCTTTCCTTCCTCAATGAGAAGGTATTACAGAAAATATTTCTAGAAATCTATCCAGGTTGGGTGGACACCTAGAATATGACACAGGCTGAGAGAAGGATTGATTTCAAACTCATCTCTAATTTGCTGATTGGCACATTTCCCTTGCCTTGCTTTTTTTGGCAACTGTTCACTAAGAAAGTAGTGCTGTTCATGAGTGATATAAACCAGAGGCTCTGGCTCCATCTGAGTGTTGAAAGCTTCCCTGATTGAACCTCTCTGAATCATTTGTCTGTAGATCTGTGCAAGCAACCCACAGGCTGCTCATTCATTGCTAAGCAGTCTCACTCCCCAGATGACTTATGTCTGAACACTAATTAGGTTTGACAGACACTGCTTTGGAATAAGAAGAGCCCTAGAAATATCATCTGTTGTAAGGACAAGGGCAAGATACAACAGAACTATTCTGATATACCACCATAGCTAGAGACAGAAATATTTCTTGGACCCTCTGAAGACACT